TCCCTCGATAATTGCGATATAGCGAGACAATAGCTAATATTTCTACTCTAGAAACTCGTGAGAATTAATCTCGATCAATCCATACATGAAATATCAACCTATCTATTTTTTCAAGATCACTCCAGTAAACGAACATCGCTTAACACTAAAATGCCCGAAGATAGACAGTCGGTTTGTCAACGATTTCAAATGGGTGTTTCAGCGTTGCGTTAAATCAGATCTCGAGTAATCGTCATGCATATACACTCTCGCGTTGTGAAAAGATCGTGCAAACTCTGTATAATACATACACGCACAGAACAGTGTGTTCTTTCGTGCATTTATTCGTAGGTACATACGTGAAATGCACGAATGGTCAACGCATCTTGTTTACGTACGCATTATGTTGTATATACAGACGTCGCGATTGCCACCGATTAACCAGCGACTGTAACATTAATAATACTAGATTATCATTAAATTATTATCGCTTATCCATTTTTATCTTACTACAATGATCAGTTCTCTCGCGATTTCGATGTACGACCGGATTCGTCGAAGAACCTTCTCCTTTTTTACTCTCTCAAAGGAAAAGGTAACAACAATAACATATTTCGATGTTATCATTGTTATAGGTCGTCACGACCTATACCTATACGTTAGAAGATCAGACTATAAGAATCGATCGATAAATTCCCTGTGTGCCTCTCGTGAATCTTGTCGCACATCGACGAGAAATCGTGAAACTTCTACAATATAGCATCTATATTTGTCGCAAAACCGCGTGTTCAATCGCGGCGATTTCGTATGCTATTACAGCAAACCTCCGGCGTCTCTCTGCAGGAGATCCGCTTCCGCCATTTATCTAGGAGCATTCGCGCATACGAAGGGAACTCGACGACTGCAATCGCCGGATTGCAGTTCACTAACGCGAATTCTACTCGAGCGAATTTTCTATTACGTATTGCTATAGAAATTTCTTTCGAACATGCTGGAATTTTTTTACGGTATCCCGTAAATATAGAACAATTTCGAGCTCTTCGTGAACGCGTGCTACCATCGTAGTGCGCTTCTATGCGAATCTATTTTCACTTCTTTAACTCACGCTTGTATTTACAATTCAATCGATTCGATAGATCGCATTCGATATACATATTGATAAAACATATAGTTCGAGTCGTCTCTTTGGAGGGTTCGCAACGGTCTCAAAAGCGATTCTGCATAATTATCGCTCTTTTTCGTTTTCCTTTGTGGCATCGAGAAGGAACTTTCGGAGAGACGTTTCTTTTTTTCTTTTTCGACGAATCTCCCAGCAGAAATATCCGATTTGAGAACAATCGTAAAACTCAGCTCACAGCGCATCGGTCTTTTTCTCGCGAGAACTTTAACGCAGTTACAAATATATATCGTCAAATCGGACAATTCGTTTTATACAAGTGATGAAAATTTGGCTGACATGCAGCCTGCGATCTCGAGTGGTAACAGAATGTACATCTTTGCCACAAAGTACGTCCCTGACCGCCCTGCTGCCGCCCCCAGGTCACCCTCGATAGACCTCCTGCCCCACGAGTGTCTTTTTTTTCTACGGAGACTCGATTAATTGCATTAATTTTCGTAGATACCGCAGTTGCGTGAAAATGATCCAATTTTCTAAAATGATTTTTGATAGCAAGGTCAATTCTCAAAAACTGTCGTATCTTCAGATACGCGGATATGCTATGAGGAATCTGAAGAATGGCAGATAAAGTTGTTAACGAATGTACTCACGTGAGAAACGCGAGAGTGATTTCTCATATGAGTAGACTCGTATAAAGACTTTAGAGATCGCCACTGTTCAAATTTCTCTAATTAGCCAGTTTTTTGTGCAATTGAGTGCAACGCAAGAGAAGGGAAAGCCGTTCGTAGTTTTTCAGATTGTTTTTCATATGCTGCTTAATTTTCGTCGATTTGCTTTTGAGTGGAGAGAGAGACGGGGGGGAGGGGGGAGAGAGAGAGAGAGAGAGAGCTTTTAAGCTTCTCGCGGATATACAGTACGCCTTGACGATCACGCGCTAAAGTCATGCAGATGTATGTAGGTATATACGCGAGCTATTTTCTTGCAAGTATAATACGAGACTTCTCTCTCTGCATAATCTGTTTACCGAAGTTGGCGTAACACTTCGGGAGCTGAGGTTGAACCTCGGCAAAGTTTCGACAAAGTTTTCACACCTAAAAGGCACTGCGATCGACATTTGTTAATTATTGTCGTTGCACCAACTTCTCGATATGGAAGAATGATTTGTTTGTGCGCAACCGTATATGTTGACGGAAAAGTTTCGCCACGAGGATAATGAAATGAGATCCAAGTATTTGCAAGATATGTCCCCTTCCTTGTACACCGGAAGTATCGAGCGACTTTAGCTTAGCGTCGTAACAAAACGTACTGCGTGTGTTAAATAAATTGACTTACGAATCCTAATCGTTGGAAGCTTAATTTTGTAATTCGTTAAACCGATATGTTACGGAATGCTAGCTTACAACAGCGTGCAAATGTAACAACAGGAAAATGATGCCGAACGATTAACGTAACAATTGATCGAATGTGACGCCGCAATATTTAGCGTAACCTCATTTTTCGAAATTTTATTACTGAAACGCGCAAAAATAATAATTTATAATTACACTAATATATAAGATGTAAAAATAAATTTCATTACTCGCGAGCAGCTTTTGCTATTCGACATTTACACCGGTATTGATCAAAGCGTGGATCGCGTAATCGAATCAAAGAACGCAATTTCGCAAAGACGCGCACATTTTATCCCGCCACTTTCACACTCAACTCCGCGTGAGTTACCAACTCTAGTGGCTCGATTTCCCGCTTTCCCACGCCTCGATCGCCGTACGCGCGGAACTCGACCGTGCAAATAAGTGTGCTCCCAAACTCATTTGCTTGGAGTAAAATCGCGTACATCTGAGACCTGCTCACACTCACTAACAGCAGAACCGTTATTAGAAGTTTAAGTATACAACTAAACGATCTGTGGCGAAACGTACACGTCGACCAAGTATCTTCGTTACACTTTAAACGATTGTCCAAGCACATCGAACCGTTGCAACATTTCAAGTACCCGATGTACCCCTTTTTTTTCATATCATAAGTCGTTGATTAATACTGAGATACTAACTGCTTATTCGACTCTCTGGTCGAAATGTGAGAGTATCACCACGGACTGTGGATCAATTCTAACGTTTCGACCGCGCAGGATTCTTTTACACATAGTCAACACTTTCGCGATCTTCTCTCATTTTACATTAACGCGAAGGCGCGTTAAATTGAATCCGTTCTCCTTTCAAATATCAAATATCATCAGGGCGTCCAGGAGGAACGCTTTCCTCTCACGCACAGGGGTTCCGAATATCGTTACTATATAATACGCGTAATACGCGTCGCCTCGGTGACGAACGTATCCCGGCCAGGCGAGGCACCTCCGAATACTATATCCCGCGCACGGTCGTCGCGGTTCTTGCCGACAGTTCGGTTGTTGACGGCAGTTCCGCGACGACATTCGACGGTCGACGTGTACGTCGCTTTGATGGTCGGTGGGGCAGGCGAGGTTCTCCCTAGAAAAGCAGAAAGGAAACCCGGGTGCGGCGAGCGTCCCCCTTGGCCCGTCGGGCCATCCCGAACTGTCAGACGGACGGGTCGCTGCCGGGGGCGGAGCCCGTCTTGCTGCCGTCGACGCCAACTCCGCCACCGTCGCCGTCAGCTCCCCCGCCCTCTCCGCCCCTGTACGGCGAGCCGCCGGCCCCGCGCGCCGACAGACCTCGGAAATCCAGGTTGTACTGAAAAGACGTGGGAGGACGAAAGAGATTATTATATGAGGTATACACGAGGAGATATATGACGAGCCTCCAAGCTCTCGCGGAAGTCATTTGGAAGATCAAAAGCGAAAGCTCGCCGAAAATCCCGAAAAATCCCGAAAAATCCTATACGAAAATCAATCTCATCTCAATGAGAAAATTGATGTGCCTGTCCTGATGAAGACCGATTGTTCCGCATTCGGTTTTTCAACGAGCTTTCGCGAGAAGGATAATATATTATACTTGAAAGTCTTTTAGCATTTGAAAGTTGTTATAGAGATACGAGTACGTATATTCTCGAGAGAAGATGTCACGTGTGCTGTGTGACATTGTTACGCTCTTGCCGTCATACTTGGCGAGTTTGTGATCTAGTGTACATATTTAAGAAATCATATACTCTGACAAAAATAGAACGAATTAATTTTGGTCCAATGTAACATTTTATGATATACATATACTATAACGTTATTTTGAAGAGTTTATTGCATCGAACAAAGTATAATAATTTTTCTATAAAGATACGGTGTTCATTTGTGTCAGCGTATTTGAGATTATTGAAGGAAGAAATATTAGATTTTTCATTACGAGATACATGGTGTAGCCATTCCTGTAAAAATAGCTGAAAATGGATTAATTCGAATCAATTATTGTTACATGGTCATATCGGTGGATGGATTTGTCATGGGTCACGCTGTATATTGTTAAATCGAAGCGAAATGGATGCAACACGCGAGTTACATGTATAAAAAGAAAGAAAAGAAGCTGTAAATAAAGTTGAGATGTCAGCTATAATTTATTAAGTCTACGTAAAGAGACTGATAAGTCGCGAAGTCAGGAGGGCTAAATGGCAAAACTGATTCGTCGTAATATCGTAAACATTGTTCAAATAAGTTCAGAGTTGAATAATTATAGAGCTAAACGACTTTTTGACTCTTGTTTTGTGCATCTTGAAATTCATCGAAAGCAAGAGAGATTGGAGACCTGTTATTGAAATTACGACGATTCGATTCTAGCACGATTGAGATGATACGAAATAAAACGGAGAAACTGAAATGAAACCAAGGTCGAACCTGTACGAAGAACGTGTAGTGTTCTCGACGTGTGCGTGCGTGCGTGCGCGTGAAACAACAGTGTCACGTGCCACGTGCTACGGCACGACGTATTACACAAGGCTGCTATTATCTCGGTAACGTTGCGTGTCTTAAGTGCTGCAGTTGTGCGTGGTGCAGCTGCAGTTGGAGAAGCTGCAGGTTCTGCAGACAGTAGGATGGCTGCTGCGTTCCGGGCGTCGTATACGGTAGGATGGACGGATGTACGAAGGAGCCAGAGTTCCGGGACAGCCCGACGACATTGGGATGTCCCGGGCTGTAATTGAAAGGAAGGAGAGACAGGCTCAGGCTGGGGGGTGGTTTTAGGATGCTGTGAAATTGCGCGGACGTGAGTGGATGGGGTTGCACGTAAGGGCTCGTGGAGGGCAACAATTGCGGACTAATCGGATACAAACAATCCTCTTCGGCCTGGCCGGGCATCGTCGTCGGGCTGAGCTCCATGTATTGCGGCATGACGAGATTGTGCTACGCGTTCAAGGAAATAGACGTACAACTCGATTTCTTTTTAACCTGAACGCGTGTCTTCGTGGCTTCAATTTTGGTATACCTGTGTGAATACTCGAAACGCGCGGTCTCACAATATGAAAACGCAAATTTGTAACATTAATTCGATTAAGAAAAAAAAAAAACGACAATTTTTAGCAACTAATGTTTCGATACAACAATATTCACACAGATTAATACATTCTGAAGAGAATTTCACAGTCTTTTAAATCGCGTTGTATGTCATAAATAATTTTTAATGTCGTTTTCCATAATTACACGGTTCTGTTATCGTTTTATATTGTATATAAATGGCCCCGAAAAGCTAAAGTTACCTGTTAATGTAAAATTTCTTATTCTTGCTGACGTTTTACGTAAAACATCAGCAAGAAACATGGTAGTGTAAGGTATATATTATGAATAAAATATATACATTCTTTCTCCAAGTTCATCCAAATACAGGCAACCTCAGTCATCAAAGAAATTCGCGCAAAAACATGTCTTTGTTCATTTAGAAAACAGACAGATCGGGCGTATAAAATATTCTTATGGCTCACCTTTGTGGCGCAGACGAAACACGTTGTGACCACCTTCGAGATCACATTCATGAGATTTTTCGTTTCTTGTATAACATTGTCGACTTTTGTAAAAGTGGCGGCCTTGCCGACGGTAGGATTCTTCACGGTGAATTGCAGTTGTTGAACGTAAGTCGGCACTCTATCCAAATTTTCCAACAGGTCTTTCTTGTGTGGTCCACCTGGTACCTGCACCCATATAACATCGTATACAAACTTGCGTTTTCGTTCGTATCACAAAATAAACTCGTTCATATTTAATTTTCAACGACCTAATAGTAGATGAAAGCATTTAACGTATAGCATTTAATTGTTAATAAAAATAATAATTTGTAAAATGATATATACTATGTAGTGTCTTTTAGTTTTTGAACATGGCCGGAGACACTACCGCGCGTCTCCTGATATCAAATTAAAATTATCTAAGATTAAAATTTTATATTATTTATTTTCAATATGTTATATGTCTCTAATTGTCAGAATTATATATATATTTTACTTTTTAATAATAATTTTCATATTAAGACATTTAGATACACGCGTAAGTTTGAACAAATATTATATTAATTTATAGCATGTGCTATTATATTTTCTCTCTTAATGTTCATGATGCGATTATAAAATAAATAATGTAAATATAGATAATATAGTATAGTATATGTATATTAATAATCGTAGAAAATTTTTGAACGATTTACCTTGCGATATTACTTCTGTATATATTTAGCATTTTTTAAAGATTCTGTAAAGCAAGATGCTTGATTCTATTGTTGTGATAGTTTATTAAATGACTAATAATAAATACTTTATAATACGTATCGCAGATACTTAGAAGTTTACATCTAATAAGTTAACAGAAAGATCGTCTATCTGTCCTAGGAAAACACAATGCAAAACTTTCAACGAAATGTAGAAGATTTCTTGATACAAATATAGTAAAGTAATTGTGTGAAGTGGCAGTGAAATAGTACAGACCTTATTATTTTTGCAAACTTACTTCATGAATTTTGTCTTTTCGAGACAATATTAATTACCAAATGTTAATGAATTAGTTATGAAAAAAAAAAAAACAGATAAGTTTCTCAGATTTTAACTTTTTTTAAGATTTAATTTTTAATATCTCGAGTATTTAATAATGTAGATATTTTTATTAACGAATATTATTTGATATTCGGTTTGATGAAACATACGATGAAGGAAGCTAGCAAAAATTGTGAGACATAATACTCATGCCCCAGATAGTGGAAGGAGAGGGACCACAATGCACATAGACGTCGTCCATAGACGGAAGCATTCCCGTAGCATCTAAAACACACCTTACTAATCGTACGAAAAAAGTTGTAAATGTATGTACATAAAATAGATTTACTAACGAAATCATAAACGTTCATTATGACAATTTAAATGATATAATACGCAAAAAATTGCTCCAATCTTCAAAACAGTTAAATCGTATGCTGATATTTGTAGTAAAAAAATAAAAAATTTAGGATTAATTTAAAATGTAAATGAGAGTATACTAAATCGTCACATCAGTTTTTTACGATAACTTGAAATAGCTCTTTCTCAAACGTCAATTATAATTGTTTCCAACATCTTTATACTTGCTCACATTTTATATAAAACAACTTTCTATTCTATTCATAATGATCAATAGGAAAATCTACGTGCGTGATGTTGCATAGCAATACAAACATAGTATGTACAAATGTAAAATGACAACACCCAACAACAGTAGAACATTAACGCTGCAGAGAGAATGAGCGCTATATATGTACATATAAATGTATATATATTTATATGGCAACGAGAATGATTTGTTAGGGCAAAAAAAAATGATATCTATTAGTTCAAAAGGGTCTAAAGTAAAGAGAGAAAAAGTTACCTGGATGGAGGCATTCAAGAGCGAGGGTATAAAAAGGATTGTATATAATACAGAATATATTACAAGGTTAGCGTCTTGTTGTTTCTCTTAAGAAGAGTATAAAGAGAGATCAAAGTGATTTCAGGTGACTATATATTCGGCCTAGCTAGGAAGGGTTCGAAAGAGGGTAGCAAACGTGTTAATTCGAACTAATGCTAATAACGCATGTCGAAGCTACTTCTGGTCTGGAAGCTACATTTATAGTAGCGTAAAATAAAATAATAATGAGTTAAGCTAGCGTTTACAATTGATATTACCTATTTTTTAAACTTGTTAAAAGTTAAAATACTTGTTCTAATTTTTTAATTTTTATCATCTAGGTATCTACTGAAGAAATCACGAAATATATTATGGATTTCTTTATCATCTCTTGAAACAATCAGAAATTAAGCTTCATAATAAAATTCAACTGAAATTAAATAGTATATATCAACATATGTCAACATACGTTTACTTTGAAGATATTATGATATGAAAGATACGCAAATATTTCTATATTTCTACGTATGATGATATTTCTCTGCTTGAACGTTAAAGAAGCAATAATTATTCGTTAGCATCTACCATTAAATATTTAAAATAATATCGTAAACTAAGATAAGTAAGAGTAAAGAGTTTTCGATGTGCAGACTTGATGCAGCTTCGACGTTGCGACTTACGAAGAAACGAAACTCAGTAGCGAATGTATAAGTGAAAAGATTTCCAATATAGCGAGGATCAAGAAACGCGGAATCAAGTCCAATATAGAGTCCGTATAATAAACAATGGTAAAAGAATGATTATAGAAGTAAGGATGATATATAGATATATCAACACCAGTCCAATTAAAAAAACGTGTGTCATCTCTCTTTCGATCTACATCGGCGTATTAGCCGGCCGCTACGTACCTGGTAACTGAATTGTCTCACAACCTTGTACAATCTGTTTGCCTCTTCGGCGAAATACTCAGCTTGGGTGAATAGGTCCTGGGTGGTCTTCAGAGCACCTTCGCCTCGCGTGAATTGGTACATCGAGAATGCCATCGACGACATATTTTTCGCCCGTTTCACGATATCGTTGTTCTCTTCTAGAGCGCTTCCGCTCTCCTGCCACTTTTCCGTCTCGGCATCCATCTCCGAGGTTATCAACTTCATTTCGAGTCCTGCCTTAGCGATCTTTGCCTGCTCCTCGCTGTCCAATCGTACTGGTTTCAGCGGTTTGCTTGTCGTGCCATGTTTCTAATAAAATCAAGCATATGTACCGTTTATCTCACTTTTTAAGAGTTTTTCTTTCTTTTTTTAATTTATATACATAATGTAGAGTGTATTGATCGTTTGTTGAGATGATTATGCGTACCCCTGGCCGCGGTAAAGACATGTAAACCTGCTTCTCTGGCCGATTTTGACTGAGTTCCAAAACGTCTTTCGCTACTGTCGTCACATCAGTCATGAGCCACTGCCACATGTCAGCAAATACTGTGAAATATACAGAAACGTTAAATGATTAGCAATTATTGTTGCAAATTTAGTGGGTTATTGGAGCGTTTATATTATATAACTTACCTTCGAGATTTTCTTTGGCTATCTTACTGGTGGGATGCCTAGCTAACGTGTGCGCGGCCGTTACGACCTGAGGACCATATATTCTTAAGTTGATCTCCGTAAATTTGGCCGACACTTGCAACGATTCCGAAAGCGCAACGTGTCTTAAAAGTTTGCATACCTAGAAGGAGAAGAATAATATGCAATGTATATCGATAAAGAAATAACCGTGTATTCCAATTTTTACCCGCATCGTATTGATAAATCACTTGAAAGTCACGAAGATTTATTGTTAACGCCAGACATGAGTAATGAACTACATGATCTAATTCACTTAAAGTTGAACGTGAAAATAAATCCAATTAGGTGCTGCAACTGATTGCAATCTAGAATTGATGAATGTAATCACCGTGTTTAATGAATCAATATGTATGTCTTAGAATCAACTCGATGTAAAATTAAGGCATGCGCATTTTTGCTTGTGAAATGATTTCGTAAGTCGATAGTATTCTTCGAAAAGAACTCTGATTATTCGTGGACTTTGAACTTATAGACTGCACGTGCACGCGAACGTGGATACGCGTGGGCTACGTCTGGGGAGCTTACTTCGAGAATGTGTTCGATATACTCGTGGAACCTGTCGCTGCTATCCTGCAGACGGTCGATGTCATTGGCCAACGCGAGATTTCTGATCGTTGACACGAGTTCCTGGCCGGCTTTTGTCACTTGGCCAAGATCGCCGGCCTGTTCCATCGTCGTCGCATTGAGTTGCTGGCGAAGGTCTCTGGTCGCCCGTAACACACCCATCACCGCTTGTTCCATTTCCGAGCTAGGTGAACCCCCGCCGCCCTCGTAATTCTGACGGCACACGATATTCATCATTTCATACTTTGTCACATTTCATGTATTATAGGGAATATTTTTTATTCGGATTACGTTATTTTCAAAACATATTCGGTCATTTTTACCAGATATAGAATTCATTGCAAACTAATTTGTTTTTAGTGTAAGTTAGTTTTAAATGTTATGTTATTATTTTAACTTTACAAGTCTATCACAATCAATATATAATTAAATATATTATTAAATATTTAGTCACGCGCATTTTCTTGTAAAATAGAGTAAAATTTATCGACTCACCATACTATTGCCGATCCGTAAGAGTGTATTGAGCTCGAGTTTCGCACGATCACAAAGCAGAAGGATATTTTCTCTGTGCTCGTGACTCGTATAAGCGCTGTCGGTGAAGTCTTGTGTCCTCTCGACCACCGTTTCGAGCGCTGATGTAAGTGTTTCGCGACAGCCCGGTCCTAGTAGAGTCATCCTTGTTGTTTCGACAAGCCTTTCAAAGTGTTTCAAAGCCGAGCAAACGGTACTGCTATCCCAGTCTTCCTGCTGCGGACTCTGCAATAAGTAATGGCACGACCCGTAGAAGAAATATTTTTCTTGAGAAATGTAGCAAATTCCTTTCTCTAGACGAAAAAAGATCTTAATTATTTAAATATTTTAAAATAATTGTATATTTAACGAATCTAGATTCCTTTGTAAAACTATATTTTATAATGTTGAAAAACGTTTATACTGACGCGAATATTAGACACGACACAAATAATATTAAATCTTTTAGAGATGTCACGTTTGGGAGCATCCCACTTGGCCAGGTTGTCTACAATCACTCCAAAATCGATTACGTCGCATAGAAAGTGGATAGTACTTGAGTGTAAAATGTAAGGATATATTTTTCTACGGGTAAAGGCTGTTCAGCGTGACCCAACAGTGTTTCCCGCGTTGTTTCTTCAAAGACTCGAGAGGTTTTCGGAAGTGTCGATAATACGTAAAATACAATATTTCCACTCATTTATTTCACGCTAAAAGAAATCTGGCACAGAATGAAAGCATCGCGCGTTCAAGTAACCGATATGTAAATGCTAGTGCACAATTTGGCATGATAATGACGAATAATCGTATTCATATATTCTTTATAATGACCATGTCGCTTATGGTGCAACGATTCTGTGATGAAAACTCTTCATCCGTTGCTTTGGATAACCGTTGAATAGACTTTTTATGCAATCACATGATTTCGCTAGCATTGCAACGCTTTAATTTTTTATATCTAATTTTTAGTAGATGTTTAATTATTAGATAAAATTTGTATACGATAATTTATACTCTATCTATATATGTACATATGTACGAGTGTGTAATAATTTCGATATTAATATATCGGAATAATCTGTTTAATTAATTAATAAGTGAAATTTTTTATCGCATATTTTACTTCCAATTTCTCGTTATATTGGTTTTCTTTCAATATTCTTGCACTGTTAATTTTGTTTATTGTAAATGCAAATAATAAATATAAATTAAAGTGTATTTAATACGGAAGATTATATTTAAAATAGATCATTATTAGCGATCATAAATTTATTAAAGTCGAAATAATTATTGTCATGAGTGTGTATGGTATGCAATTATAATCCATTGATATTTGTAGAACATATTGATTTTCCAATATACTACGTTTGACCACAGTTTATTGATTTCACCAGGCCAGACATCGTGCTATTATTCATGGTTTCTCGAGTCGTACTAGGATCATTCCGATATTTCGTTTACAAATTCTATTACGACAGTGAATCGCAGCTCAAGGTCATTTAAATCGCACATTAGGATTTGTAAATCACAATTTGGCGAATAAAGGTTCTTTGAAACGTTTCCAAAGCTTTCAGAAACAGTTTATATCATAATATTGCTTTTTTTTAAATCTTTACAATATGGATATGTATTCTCGCGCTGTAGCATAATAATGAGAAATACATGCTTATTTGGCAACTGCAGTTATTATAGTGTTTCTTGGCAAGCTTTAACGCGAGAATATTCATATCGATAATTATTTTCTCATTGCTCAAACAACGTATACATGTTTAAAAGATGTCATGAAAACCTCTTTTGAATATGTATGTCTAAAAGATATCTAAAATGCATCATAAAGATATCTTGTAGACATTGCGTGTTGTCTGGGTATTTTTATATTAATTTTTAAATTGTTCGCTATTTTGTTCTGCAAATTAATGTTGTGAATAGATGAATTTCGAAAAAACTTTTATTATTTTATATAATTTCATAATTTGATTACTTTTATTAAATTAATTTTAACACATTGAGTGGAAAATGTTTTCATCGTTTATAAAATATCTTTGAAATAAATAGCTTACCTGTGAATTCGAGTAGGATTGAGAATCGCTACAGTCTAATACTCCGTCCTTGACAACGTAATGTATCAGATCCATCGCTCTTCTCATTTGACAAAAAACGGTGTCTCTGTTTTCCTTAGCGGATGGACATTCGGGATGCCTTAGACATGTCTTGCTGGACGTAAGTAGCATCATGGTGCTTCTCTCTAATACTTGTCGAGCCGCTGCCATCTGTGCGCGTCGCCTCTCGTCTTTGAGATCATTCTGAAAATAAAGTAAACATTAATGAATCACAATTACACTAACGGAAATTAGTACAAAACTCATGAATGAAATATTGATTTGCAAAAAGCAAATCTCTCACCTGACGATCACCCGTTAAATGTGCCAACTCGACCATCTCTCCTCCAAATTGGCTAAACGCCTTGACGAATTCCGTGAAATTCGAGACACTTTCGAGACGTCCCAGACTGCGGGCGACCTTATCCTTGGCATGAAGCAATTGATTGACCACGACGATGTCTGCCAGAAGGAGGACTTTCGTCACTGAGCCTAGGAGACATCTGGCAGCTCTTACGACGGAACTTCGATCAGCCAAACTGTCTTCCAAGGCACATTCGCATAATTTCTCGATTGCTGAGCCTAAATGTAACATAATCGATTGTCAGATTGCATTGTTTAATTTTACGTATAATATGTACATATGTATATCTGCAGCACACAGCAGAAGTTGAAAAGTGATAGTCCCTTCTACTTATTCCACTGTAAGATTTAATTCTTGAAAGACAAATCGATCGGACGAATTTTGAGCGAGTGTGACGGACAAGGAATACTAATGAATTAAACATCTCGTCTTTTTATCGTGTGTCACCGTAAAATCGGAGTAACTGATTTAATTATGACCGAGCTCCTTGACTTGATGGATACGAGTAATTGGGTGCTCTTGAACGATCGTAATTAGTTACTTCGCACATTCGCCTTCCATCTTATCTAAACAATGTCAATACTTAATTAATTAAGCTTATCATTAAGAAATTACAAGAAAAATTGCATAATAAATATGCAGCATTGTATATTTATACATATTTTTAAATACGTATTAAAATGGAAATATTAATAATTCTTATTCTTTTTTTATTTGAAATTTATTAACTGTAATTTTAAATCCAACATTTTTTAAACAACAGTTTATAATATCCAACATTAAAAGAGTCATAGAATTAAATTAAAGAGTTTTTTCTAAGTTGCATTTGTGCATAATACTTTCTAATAATATCGTTATCGATTGGAAACTCTTCGAGTATGAGAGTTGTTCTGTATCATTAAATAATTATTTACGAAATTAGAAAACCGTAATTAACGCGAAACAGAATATCGCCAATGGCTATTATCATCTATTATCATTAATTGTTTATCGCCATTAGGAACTCACGATGTCCTAAAGGAAAATTACTACAGGGAGAATCGATAAGAGAACAATTGATTATAATCGATTCTATTTGTTCCTTTATATTGAATAATTATGGGGAAACGCTGGACGTTTAACGGAATAGATTTGTGTGTCTACAAAGTCCCTGTAACAATGTTCTATTGTTCATGTTGCATATCTATGTAAATGAATTTTATTCATTAATTTACTCTTCCGAATAGTTTCTTTATTAACGCAATGTTTATAAGCTTTTCTCATAGGTCACTGCGCATTACTCTTGTTCAGTATAACTTGTTTATCGTTTTACTTGATGGATACTTTTCTCATTATTTAACGAGGAAAGCACTGCTTCATTCTTCTTCGTTTCAACAGTGTGTTATATACTTTAAAATTAATTATTGTACTATACATAATTTAAAATATATAATTTATAAATATTTTTACTGTAAAACTATCACGAGACATTGCTAATGAATATCTATAATAATTGAATACTTAACGCTACGATTAAAAATATGGCAATGTTCTTTTGTTTTGTGCCGCGCCTAATATTCTTTTAAAGGGCAAATCGTTTATATCCTTCTATCGAATTGATTAGTATAGTGATGCCAGCATTGTAAGATTAGTCGGTTCGATATGGAATCCTTATAGCGTTTTATATAGACTAACTGTTACGTAAGAGAACTTGACCCAATTTAAAAATCGAAGTGCACTGATTTCATACCATTTCACATATAACTACATGTTCAATTATTATTCCGATAATCGATGGTCGGTTTTTTTCACGTATATTGTCTATACATATATTTCATAAATCACGAAAGAAACATATCAATGAGTACGAATTGTTTCTTTCTCCCCTTTGAATTTAGCGTTTTACTTACTTAATTACTACATAATTAACGCTGGACGCAATATACGAGCAAATTTTATTAATAAAAATGTCTGCCTAATTTCGGTCTTTAGTGAGAGTTTTTGAGCGCAACGAAGTAAATACAGCACACCACACGTATCTCGATATTGGTGAAAGCATCGGTTGGATTGCAATTGAAGAGATTGCTCGGATGTGACGCGCACAAGTGTTCTAGGAGTGTGCTTTTCGTGATTCACGAGGTAAAATACATCGAACTGGAATAACCATGTCAAACTTGAGATTGACATTTACATATTTATTTCTTGTTCACGAGTGAAAAGAACTGATTTTTGTTTCACGTTATTATTAATTGAACTGTCGTTATATATTGAAGTGTTATATCCATTTAATTTATTACGTAGATATGTTGAAATAAAGTCATTGTTATGAAATACGGTTTGTGAATTTTAAACAAACTAAGATTCGTATCAATCGCTTAATTGCTATCCTTGTAACTTTCTGCTAGCACGCGATAATGTTGAAAGAACAATTATACGCGTTGCTTTAGCTCGCGTGATTAAGAAAACTCCAGTCATAAGCGAATAATTATTTACATGGATGATAACGCGTTATCAATGTTATAATTTATTTTCAGATTTAACTATGGATATCTATATAACTATGGGTATTGATTGGTATTTCGGTATTTCTCCTCAACAATCTTGCAGTAATTAACCAAATAAAATACAAATTTAAAGACGAGAAATGACTTTTATCCGTTTACAAATGGATTTTTTTTCACGAAATAATAAAAAAGTTGTTACATATTGATATACTAACTATAATTGATGTTATTGTTACTCTAAATTTTAAGCATAATTTATTTATTTGGAATGTTTCTTGGTAAAATTGCATATTTTCAAAATATTTACCTATTAAGATTAAAATAAATTAGCGAGTATAATGTGAATTTGCAATTGTGCGACACGAGTGTTGCGTTCATCAGTGAGTACTATTAAACTGTAGAAATAAATAGCGCGGAACGGCGTTTTATGATAAGCATGATAACGTGAGCTTATGAACGATCAATGACGATGAATGTGACTAATGAATCACTAACTTTACTCGTTAGCGAAACGCGTTTTATCCGCGTTCACCATCAGTCCGCGCCGTTAAATTATTCTATTTACATTACGCTTCTTCGTTAAAAGTACCTATCTCACTTTATAGTACAGATCTTATTCAATGCGGTTTTCGTTTGTACAACTTTTTGTGCAAGTTAGCACAGAATATCCAATTTATTATTTCTTTTATCGATTTTTACAATAGTCCTATCTGAGCGGACCTTTTTCTGTTTGCTACTAAAATACGCCGAGTGAATTTATATCGCGTTTTTCCCAAGCGACACATCATGATAAAAATCGCTCTCTTATGCCCGTATTTGCTGCAAGCTGAAAACTTTTTGTTATTCGGTTAGTTCCGTCATAAAAATGGATTTATCACCATTACTTCGGGGAAATGTCGGCTTATTTGTCGGCAAAGAAAATGATCGTGGTAGAATCGTCAGTATTTCATTTCAAAAGTGTCAAAATTAAATTGATCGATTCGTCGAGGTTACTAATCTGTTTACACAAGCAAATTAACCGGATATTTGTAGAACTGTATATAAATTATCTAATATCTATATCAATTTTGTACCATGTATGCAAATATTTTAAATAAATTCATTTGTTTTATCGAAATTTGCAAATGTTTTACAATTTTTTAGTTACAAAGCTAATATTACAAGTCTGCATAGATTGTATACTGTACGTACATGTATATGTAATATTTGTGCAAAGATATAAAAAAGCAACTATTGTCTCATGTCGATTGACACAGTGTGCCTTCCAACAAGCGACATAGATGACACGGTGTGACACAGTATATCATGACATCCTTGCTGTTCGTCAATGTTAAACAAGGATGAGATGATCACTGTGTTGTACTACTTGTTGGAAAGCACACTCTTCGATTGATCATCAATGACTATTTCATTGCAATAGAGTGTCGAGAAGAGCTAATGAATAACTAAATGACAAGCACCCTGTGTACTTTGAATTTAATATTCAAGCACTACATATTATTAATATATACTTACTATGATTTTTATAATTCTTTAGTAACTATCACCCAATTTGAAATATCAGACAAAACGTCAGACAAAAATGAAAGATTTTTGGTTTTCTATTTTGAAAAATGACGATTTTCGTGATAATAGTAGCTCAACCTCAAACGTATATATGTAGATACGAAGAGTGATCTGTATTCAGAAATCACCGATGCCGACGGTTTATACAAATTCGTCGCGTGTTGTGTCATAGTGAATCCCACAAGCACGATAGCGTTCGCAATTCCACGGTTAGTTACTCTTACCGATTTACACGCGATACCACGCGAAACGATTTGTTCAAGCCAGCAGGTAGTAAGCTTGCATGTCTCTGCACGATCGTTGTAATATCGGTGCTCTTTCGACGTTATTTCATTACTTCAAATTGATACGTCTCGTGCTCCGATAAGCATTTTTACATGTCTAGCAATGGAATTTTATTATCTTATTTATTATTCCCAGAATTGTTTATCGATATTCTAAATTTACGAAGCGTGCCGTTTCTGATTGTACATAATCCTGTTTCGACCTCAGTGTTGTGACGAAAGTTCGTCGGTTTATTATTTATCACCATTTTTCCTTAAGTGCAAGATCGATGACAGCGAAAAGAATAACTGACATAATAATAGTATTTCTTAAATATACAATCTTATAAAGATTGATACAATCATAAATCTGGCATCTATGTAGTTTATTTCATTTCTTATATAGTATATCTGTATCTTTTATGTTATATTAGTTGTTTTTTTTTATTCTCTTGAATTATAGAGTATTGTTTAATTCATACCTATGCCGAATAGGTATGAAAGCTTTCTTCAAGATCTTTCTAATTTTGTGGTGTGAGACTTTTCGCGTTGAAGACCACCGAGACCGTTTCTTTTCTCTATGGCACAATTCTCTCCGAAGAGCGAACAGGTGTGCTGGAAAGAAATATCCGCGGTCCTTATACTTCGACCATTACTTCTCCGCTATTTGGCAAAGATACGTCGAGGCTCTTCTTGTGTGTAGGTGACGAAAAACCTTTCAAGGTTTGGTAAAACTGGGTCATCACGCGCGCTGTTTCCACATGGTAGCAGCAGTCGTTCTGCGATGTGCAACCTGGCGTGAAGATATGAAAAGATATAATCTGCCGACGATAAGACTTCAGAGAGTGACGTTCAAAGGTTACGAGTCTTATTCTTGCGTGTATGGAGCCCTTTTCCGGTTTGCGTGCTCTTAGAGGTTATCCGCGCAAGGTTGCGTATGAGAGGTGCAATTTGTATCTTTTCGATGTTTGATGTTGGTGTGCGAATCTCAGGATGTTTCCTTATACGTTACAGTGCAGAGAGAAATCTGCTTTTACACGAACGAAAAGATTCGCTAGTTTTGTGAAATATATTTTAACCCATATATGGTACAATATATATGTATATATGATATATATATATATTTATTGTACCTTATACAATATATATATATATATATAAAACATTCGTTCGTGCATATGCATTCTATCTTTCTTTGTTCCTTTTCTCTTCTTAAAGAGGCTATAAGATATTAATTTACATGCTAAAAAGAATATTGGTCGTTTCGTGTGTAAAAAAAAACGTAACTCGTAAAATCGCGTTGGAGTAATTTACAGTGCGTTCTTTTAAATCTTTACGCAATTAAATTTTTATGATCTATTTGACGAATAGTTGAAGATCTTAAAGCTTGCGATTCTGAACTAATATCAAATTAAAAAATGAGAGAGAGTTATATATTTTACTTTATTGTTTTGTGTTCTTATAAATAAAAAATACAATGCAAACTTTTCATATTTATGAACAGCTTCCGATTGCGAATTTATTTGAAGTAACACAATTATTTTAAACATTAGGATAGTGAACATCTATCTGCTTGAAATAATGTTATTTGTTCAGTTATTTGCGAAAAAGAAAGTAGTATAAGTATACACTTATAATACAATTTCTTCTCAAGAAGAAGATATTCTCAAAGGAATACAAAGTTTTCAGTAAAATATAAACTGAATAAAGTATTAAAATACTTCAAATAATGTTATAAAATTTAAAATTAAGATAAAAATTTCGTAATATTTTTTTTACATAACTTTTATTCGTATCAGGTATGTGTATGTATTAGATTTAAAAGAGAGTAACAAAAAATTTCGGATTTATAAAATATATTGGATTCAAACAAGATTAACATTTAAATTATGATTAGCTGTGTAAGTTATCTTTTGCATACTTCTTCGTATAAATGCGATCACGATTGTAAGTAGCAAAATACATTGTGTGTTCGCTAAAATATGAATCTTCCTTTCTTAATAATATTGGACAATAAAGAATTTTACAAATTAATGCAAATCTCTGCATTGTATTGTTCTTCTACTAGATAATACACCGTTCTAAAGTTGCTCATATGATATAATCTCCAATCGATGCATGAGGTCTCTGTGAAGTTAGCACCTCAACTTTAAAAATCGGAAATTTTAATAACAGTACTGCTTGCACCCGCAATAGTTCTAGAGTTCCTGATAGGTTTCATCAATAGTACTGTTGATTTAGGCCAAAAATTTTAAAAAATAAAAATATGCGGTGCTAACTTCGCGTGGCACCGCAAGATTTGAAAAAGCCGATTTTTATGACGGAATCTCACAGTACTCGAAGAGTACTACAGTTCCTGATCGATTATAACAATAGTACCGGCCATTAAATATTTTTAAATAAATTTTTAAAAAAAGAGCTCGCACCTCAACTTTCAAAAAAATTATTCTTTTTGCGTCATTTTGTAGTACTCTTCAAGTACTACAGTTCCTGATCGGTTTTAGTGACACTACCCACCTTTTTAATATGTTTAAATAATTTTTTAAGTTTTCCGTTGGCACCGCACGTCAAGAGTAAAGTGCCCCTAAACGGCCAGTACTGGCCGACTTTTCGACTTTTTCCGACAGTACTACAATAGTTCCGAAGAAATATGCAGGTTTCGACGCGAGTACTGGCTGTTTAGAAGCATTATACTCTTGACGTGCGGTGCCAACGGAAAAATTAAAAAATTATTTAAACGTATTAAACGAGGAGTACTCGGGTCGACACCTGCATATTTCTTCAGAACTATTGTAGTATTGCCAGAAACAGTCGAAAAGTTGGCCAGTACTGACTGTTTGGAGGCACTTTACTCTTGACGTGCGGTGCCAGCGGAAAACTTAAAAAATTATTTAAACATATTAAACGAGGAGTACTCGGGTCGACACCTGCATATTTCTTCGGAACTATTGTAGTACTGTCGGAAAAAGTCGAAAAGTCGGCCAGTACTGGCCGTTTAGGGGCACTTTACTCTTGACGTGCGGTGCCAGCGGAAAACTTAAAAAATTATTTAAACATATTAAAAAGGTGGGTAGTGTCACTAAAACCGATCAGGAACTGTAGTACTCTTCGAGTACTACAAAATGGCGCAAAAAAATAATTTTTTTGAAAGTTGAGGTGCGAACTTTTTTTTAAAAAATTTATTTAAAAATATTTAATGGCCGGTACTATTGTTATAATCGATCAGGAACTGTAGTATTCTTCGAGTACTGTGAGATTCCGTCATAAAAATCGGCTTTTTCAAATCTTGCGGTGCCACGCGAAGTTAGCACCGCATATTTTTATTTTTAAAAATTTTTGGTCTAAATCAATAGTACTATTGATGAAACCTATCAGGAACTCTAGAACTATTGCGGGTGCAAGCAGTACTGTTATTAAAATTTCCGATTTTTAAAGTTGAGGTGCTAACTTCACAGAGACTGCATGCAAAATACGCCAATAGTTTTGATGCGAATTTACTCTGTAATGTGCAAATGGATATGTTTATATTATGTTCTAACTTTTGATTAATGTGCTATCGTAATATTCGCGAGAACATTTGTATTGAATTTGCGCTTATGTTATGCCACATAATTTTTATCCGTTCTATGAAATTCATTCGTTCGTTCTGAAGAACTTACAGTGATACTTTTCTTTATTTCGAATAAAATATGAAAAGTATTGATATTACAATATATTTTTTCTAAATAAAAATTTTTTGACACACACACACACACACACACACAAAATTTATATAGATAATTTAAATATTAATGCAACTTATATAATTTGAATGTTATATCGTGTTAAAATTTGGTTATTAATTTAGTAATAATTAAATATATAAAAACGATAGTCTAGCTGATTTAAATTATGAGAGAAGTTTAACGATTTACAAACAGTCCATTGAGTCTTAATTTTATCAGAAGCTAAATGGTACCTATAGAGATATTCTAGTTATTTTATTTCATTTGTACATCTATTTATATTACTATCAATTTTGTGCATATTGTCACAAATGTTGTTACACTTACCTGCAACCCTCGCCTCCTTGCACGCCTCGTACATGTCTTGTTTGATATCCGGGTTGTCGTCCGCGATAGTTTCGCCGACGGTCACGAATCTCTCGACTGCCAAATTTACCGCCTGGCCGACCCTGGCAACCGCTCGCAAACTCCGGTCCGAGCATAGCGGTCGTTCTCTATGTGAGATTAACGTGGAAATCTGTAAAGATATTGCATTTTGATGAGTGCACAAAATTTAGTCGAAAAGATTTAGGTATATGAAATTTCATTTTATAATTTTGATATAATTGACAAAAAAATGTTTTAGGTATTTATTAAATATTATTAGTGTAATAACAAATATCAAGCTTGCAAGCTTTTTATACACACACATATATACATATATATATATACATATGTATATAATTTATTGCTTCAAAATATTTATAAAATAAAATAAGATGTGTTGAACATATATTTGAATAAATATCAAATCAAACTTTCACGTAAGTAATCGATGCATTTTTGCTGGAAAACTCAGTCAGTTGAAATCAGACATGATACCGGTTTTATAAATAGATTTTAAGAGATAGTTAGATATTTGTGTTATATTTATCGAAGAGTTTAATTAAGAAACTCAGATAAAATTTCTTTCGAGACATAGTCTAAATTCTGACATTTTCGATACTTTGATACATATACACATGTGAATTTTGGTTTCTCTTATTGCGATTGCATTTCGACAAGCAGGATTTAGCTCAAGCAAAAACCGTTAACGAAATATTTAATTATCACTTTCCAGCACTTGGTCGCGTTTTAAATAATTGTAAATAATAATGCAAAATGCATGGAATGGCGTACATCGCTATCTGTTAGATTAAGTTTTGGTATGCGAATGGTAGCATGGCAATCTTTTGTAAAAAAAACAGAATACTGTATGTCGTATGTATATAATAATAGATATCAAGGTTACATAATAATTTGAGCTGTTATCATTATGAAATGTGTTTTGTTACTGTGATATACAACGCGTGTAATATTTATGCAAGATCGTCATCGAGCAGATGAGCCGTCCCGTACGTATATATATCGTTTATGCTAACATGATCACGATAAGTGTTATAAGAAAATAAAGTTCATATTCATTAAAATATTTAAGTGGGCCAAGAATATAAAAGAAAATAAAAGTAAAGTGGATAATTATTATGCATCAACATTCATATATTATTATTTTGCAGAGTACCTGTTCGTTATATTATCTTTCTAATTGTAAGAGATAGATCCCGCATAGAATGCAAAAACGGTCAAGTGTTTGTAGGCAGTTGTATCTACAGACTAGTATATCTCGCTCCCTTGTTTTAATTAACATCGTCGTCTTGTCTAACCCAGAGCGATTTCAAAATAACCAGCACGTTCGTCCGCATACCGGTAACGCATATTCCACATTTGTTTCAGTCGTATATGACTAGCGACCGCGGTAACGTGCTGCTTGCGTTGCGCGTGGAATTACGGCGCGGAGAGACTTCGTAAAACTGTAATACTATATGTATACGTAACGCGTTCCGAGCATTCGCGAACCGTAGCGGCGGCTACACAGCATTTTCCACACAATTAGACGATGCATTTGTACGTCGCTCCTTTCAGAGATGTCGGACGAAGGAGGGAAAAGGAATACGGGAGCACTATGACGTGGAGCAAAGGGACGAACTCGCGGACTATTGTTTTGAGAGATGAATGCGTGCACTGTGCAGACGTGTATACACACACATACGTACATAGTCATACGCACGTAAACGACTCCATTCATCTCGATTCGATCGTCTTATGTAAATGAGAGATGTCTGTGACGACACAGCTCTTCGTTGCATGTAATTGCATGCATGCACGGGAATGTGAATGGCTATGCGGGGGACAAAATTATATATTTTGACGTTTTATTATCTGACGCACCTAATATTATGACGTCGCAATTCTGTAATATTATAATATCGACTATAATAATATCGATTTGACGCTAGCTAGCCTAATTTTCTTTTGCAATTATAAGAAGCAATTATAATATAAATGAAACAGCAAATTTTATTGGTAGCATCCATAAATTGCATAGTTTAACAAAGAAGAACCCATCTATATGAAAAATTAATAGATGTTTTTTTTCAATTAAAAATACGGGCCTAATATTGCAACAGAGCATATTGTTTAAAAAAAAATGCACAATTACGTTTCATTCGACCGTTGTGATAGCATTTATCCGAAACCTATAGAAATTTCTTTAGCGACACACACACATTTCAATGATTCCATTGTATAATTCATACAAAATATAAATATTAAATCAAATTTAAAAAAAATATCGTGTTTTTAAAGTACGCATTGTATTACAAAATTAGATTCTTGTTTAGAAATTTATTATATATATGTATATATAATAAGTCTCTGAACAAGTCAGTATCGTTCTTATAAGTATATAATACTATGGAATTGCAGACGGAAAATATGTACTTACAGAATATCTTACTTTTACCGCATTATATTTTAATGACGTTTGTCGTTAGCAGGAACTTTGTCGTTAGTTACGATGGCTGCCGTTCGCAAGTGTCTCGTGCAAAGTTCAATATAACTTTGCATAATTTCCGTCGACCGGAACTCCATTTTTCACGATGAAATTCCAACGGGTTTCCTCGAGCGACGCATGAGTAACCGACGAATAATTGAAATAGCTATCCTCTCTTTCATAGGAAAATCGATCATTTTGCATGAAATTTTTCGAAAGTTTATGAATTTGTGTATGTGTGTCGACACGCGGGGTATTCCATTTTTCATAAAAATTAAATTTTCGCAACTGAGACAATCTCTTTTTTCATCTCTCGCTCGCCGCAGTGGTATTAACAATAATAAGAACGAAGTCCCTGCAGCGCGATCGTTGGCGATATCGATCTGAGTGCTATCGACGATACCGTTAATCGCTTTCACGTGCGAAATTCATCTCTCAGCTTACGTGTGGCTATTCGCGGAATTTTCGATATCGTCGGTGAATATTTAGCTCGTGAGATATCATCAATCAATTCCGATGTCGCATCGCGGTAGCGAAACGGTTTCCTGACGTATCATCCTCCATGACACTGTAGCGAAAGCTCGGACCTGTAACTTATGTTCCGCAACGGGAGCGGCTCATGAATTTATCGCTCTAATACGCGACGACCATACGTGACATTATGACGTGTGGAAATAACTTATCTTGTAACCGTGGTCTCGTACATAATCGGGACGTTATTAACGCATAATCGCGTGCCGTTCTATTCACGGAAAATTCGATTAGGAATATTAACATCATTGTTAGTCATAATACACTACAAAGAAATAACGATATCTGTGTGTATTTTAACCCGAATACATATTTTATTGCTATTGCAAATTATGAAAAATGATTCCATAATCTACATTACTTTTTCTTGTTATATTGTATTTTGTACTCTTTTAAACGTTTCTATAGTATGTGTATACATATATATTAAATATCGATATCCTGCCTCGATGTAGAAATTTTATTCATGCATGATAATCCGATAAATAACACTAAACAATTCCCACGTGTTCATTAACACTGCAGTATGACGTATAACCGGAGTTGTATAATTATTCATAAACGACTGGCATATTATGCTTGGCATTGCACATTTTTAATTCAAATGACTGTTAAACGCAACAATGCAAGATTATATCAACGTCGAGGATAGATAATTGTGTCAATTGCATAATTTATATTTCTAAACTTAAAAACATGTCTATTTTATTATAAATTTTATTTGTCAATATATATACTATATATAGAACTATCAGATATGATATGTTTAATAAATCATAGGTTGATTTCTTCTAATTTTTTTTTAATTTTCTATTCTGAAATCATATCAATTTTTTGAAATACATTTTTTGAATTAGGTTTACCGAAATAAATTCAAGTACTGTTATTGCGTCAGACATACTTATTAATAATTTATATGTTTGGAAAAAGCTTCAATTTATTTATAATCATACTTGGTGCATTGTCTGTTTGGTATTATAGAAGTGAATATGTTGAAGAGAGTGGATAGATTTTCGTTTGTGATCGATTCTTTTTCACTTTGTTATCTTTCATTTGTGAAATGGATATTGAAGCTTTGCGAATACGAACACACACACGGTAATGCAACGACGAATAGATCTCTACCTGCTGTGACTTGAGCAGATGGTGACATTATACTTCTTTTAGCAGGGATGAGCATCTCTATGTAAGTCATCAAAAAATTTAAATAATTAATTCGGAAACGTTGCCGAACGAAATTTTTCGCGATTAAATTATATTTAAAACTTAATACAGTACTTGATTTTTTAAAAAAATTCGTCAATTCGAAATTAATTCATTACTGTATAATAAAAAAAATTACAATAGCATCGAAGCAATTAATAATATTCGCGAGTTTCTTTCTTCGCTTAAAAAATATTTGACGATCCGTAAAAAATGTCTGATTCAAATGAATGCGCCATACCTATAAAAGAGAAAGAGAAAGAGCTTCTCACGGATAAATTTAATTAAAGTGCTCACAAAGAGCGGGAATCGCGAATGAGATTCGACGAGTAGATTTGACTGATCTTAAGTATAGTTTTATAAATTCTCTTTTTACTTTTCCTTTACGAAGTCTCCTGAAAAGAAGAAGATCAGCGGCTGTGTTAATTAAGGGATTTAATTCTCCCGTTATCTGGGTGCTCGAATTGAAATTTTGTTATTTCGTTTCAATTATTTTTTTACATTTTTCTTTATACTTTTGACTATTTTTCTTTTTTCTTCTGTTTAGAAAAGAGAACGGTATATACCTATGCGATTACTTAGTTGCGGCGTAGTTACTAGGTCTCTCCGCACCTTTATAAAAGATGCATGAGCTTTCAAGTCGTCTTTCTTTGAATTTTTTCATTTCGCCATTTCTTTTCTGGCTCGTATTGTCCTGTATGGCATGATCTTCGTTTTTTATTTATTTAGGATAGCTTGAACTCTTTCTTCGATTAGTTTCCTTTTTGTGTAATCTGACATTGTTATGTGACATTTTTTAGTCTTGTGTAAGTTGGTGCACGTTTATTTACAAATACGTCGATTTTAAATAAGTTTTACTTTTTTAAAAGAGATATTGCCTCAATCTATCGAATTGACGATAAATGGGGATATAATTGCGTTGACGTCGCATT